ACTCGGAAGTAGTTAATCACGAAAGTTTAGCCGGGGCTGTAAAATTCTTAAGAAATTGGTCGACGGCGCTCTCGCCGGTGGCCGTTACTCCGGAAGTGGCCTTAGATGGGAGGTTGCCGTCGGAATTGCGGCTTCCCTCGCGCATCCTGATTCGCGCGCGTCGTCGTCGCGCGTTATCAATGTTATTAATATCGTCGTAAAAGAAGAAGACGTGAGGTCAGGACGGTACAGGACGGTACAGGAGTATCGCGAACGCGTTTTAGATAGATTTGACCTCGAAAATTAAATCATTCGTAACAATTAAATAATTCGATCTCGAAAAATATAATCTCCCCCTCTTTTGTTAATTAAAAAAAATGGCACGTCAAAGTCTTGTAAAATTATATTATTACAAAAACGAAACCCGATGCGAGTTTACCGCCAAGAAGATATATGCATAATTTCGTTCTGTGCCCGTCAAGCTCTTTAGTTCGTAGCTTAGACCGGAATATGATACCTTGACGGCATTTATGTGATTATTAACGCTTATTAATGCACTTCACAGAGAAATTCCATCACGTTATTTTGATATCACATTTTCATTTGATTGCGTTTAATGTTTTGCCACCGACCGGGCACAAACGTACGAAATATTCGCCATTAAAAACGATATTTGTACATTTCAACGTATAACGGGTAAATTTAAATGGAATGAAGGAGAGTGAGAGCCGCGTAAAAGTTATGCATATGAATATTATGCCACCAGATCGGTAACACTATACGGTTTGAGAGTTAAAAATATATATTCTGATAGATTTCGCGCGCGAATTCATGTATATGTTAATTGCAATTAAAGCGCTGCCTTCCGTGAAAAATTCAATATTATGACAACGAGACAGGCGGAATAATTTAAAGAGGGGTTACAGATATTTTGCGATGATGCTACAAAAATATCATTTTTTCTCGATCTTGTGACATTCGTCCTGTGTTATCAGCCCCCTTATCGTGTTATCACGCGTACTCAAAGACGTCGCTCTTTGATGCTCGAATTGATTTCCCTTGGAACGGCGGAAAGCCGTTTTCGGGATTTGTCGTTAACCGGAAGGAGAGGCACATTAATGGTCGCGCGTGTACAGGAATGAAGAACTTTTAAGCTTCGCGAACGCGAGCGGGCCTCGTACGAGCGTTGCGGATGGGCGGACGCCTCGACGCGGTAGAAGGGAACCGACGTTAAGGGTAACCGGGGGAGGGAGAGGGGGGGGAGGACGGGAGAAGAGAGAGTCTCTAGGTTGAATAATTCAAGCTCTCATTAGGGCGACAAAAGCAGCCTGATGGATAGCTGCTCGACTCCGCTGGCTGTCGTGAGTCCGCGGGCACGGGCATCCTTCTCTCTCTCTCTCTC